AGATAGTCACCTAGAAGCACAGATCAGAGAGATTTGAAGATGTTATTCTGCTGGCTTTGAAGATGAAAGGAGAGGCCATGAGCCAAGGACTGAGGTGGGCTTCTAGAAGCTGGAAAATGCCAGGAAATGGCTTCCCTTCTAGAGCCTCCAGAAGTAAGGCAAGACAGCCAGCCCCTTGATGTTGGTTCAGTGGACTTCTGACCTCCGGAAGAGAATATGTTTGTGTTGTCTTATGCCACTAAATTTGTCCTAATCTGTTACAGCATCCATAGGCAAGTAACATAAACCAGATGCTAGATTTAGTAGACAAAGATATTAAAGGAGCTACATAAATATGCTTAAAGAGTTAAAAGAAAATGATTTATTCAGTGAAGGAGAGGAAATTTCAGAAGAGAAGTAGAAATAAAAACTTCATGATCAAAAAGTAAAATAACTGAATAAAAATCTCTCAGGGGAGCCCTTCTGATTCTTTCATGGGAAATTTTTATCATTCAAGCAAAAACTAATAGATATTCAAGGAGACAGGACCACATGACCCATAAACACAGGCAAAACGGCAGACGATAGAAGCAGATCCAATGCCAATACGATATTGGATGTTAAACAGATAAGGACTTTAAAATAACTGATTATTCAGTTCTAGAAAATATAGGGAAAGGGACAAAATAGATCAAAAGACAGAAAAAAAGAAAACCATTTCACAGAAGTGGTGAAATAAACAGAACCGAAAGTACATTGTATAAATTAAAAAAAAAAAAAAAAACTACAATGTCTGAAATTGGGAATTCAATGCATGAGTTTCATAGCAAGTTATACATACTATAAGCCAGGACTAATGAAAGATAAATAGAAAATATTCAGACGAAAGTGCAGAAAAGGAAATAGAATTGAAAGACAACAGATCAATGTGCATAATCAATGCAGTTTCTTCCCAGGAACTCAATAATGAACACGGCTCTCACCCCTTGGGTGATTGTTTGCATTGCTGACCTTGTATCATCTGGTATCATCTGGGCTCTTGTATAGCATCAGGTAGATTATACTGAACGGTGTTTGCTGGGTGGAATTTAAGAATGAAATTGGCACAGGTGGTGAACATTTAGCCTCAAGTGCTACATGGCCTTGTTATTAATGCTTGGTTCTACCTCTTCTCAGAGATGTCGAGGGAAAGGGAAAATATCCTGCCCTGGACCAAGAGAACACACAGAGGCACTAAGGTGGGTGTGTAGAAGCATGGCAGCAGTGAGGCCGGTTCGTTCCCTGAGGGTGCACCTTGAACCCTGTGGGTCACAGGCATGGCTGTTAACCCTGAAGAGTTAGAGAACAAAAATTTGGACCATACAGGAAGGAAACTGTGCCAGAATTACACTCTCATGGAGGCAACACTGGAAAGGCAGCCACGGATGTCTTTTCATCCCTTCTTTGTAACCTTCCCGAAGAAGGAGGAGGAGCTAAATCTCATCAGTGGGTCTGTGCTCAGAGCGGCAGGGGACGAGACAGTTGATGGGTGAAAGATCTTTCTAGAAAAGGCATAACAAACGAAGGCAGAAGAGTGTTAGACTTCTAAAAGTCACTACGGTGAAATCCCTGGCGGGTCCAGACAAAAATAAGCAGTGACTGATAAACTGTGAAGGGCGAAGGCGGTTGTATCTTTCCGATACAAGGATCAGGCCGGTACCTCCTGGAACTCCTGATCAATCGTTAAATGGACAGCAGTCAGGCACTAAACCTCCTGAGACGAAGTGCTGTTTCTGTGAAAAGGAAACAGAGGAGGAAGGAGAGGAGGCAGGGAAAGAGGCGGGAAGGGAAAGAAAGGGAGAAGAGGGAGGGAGTGTGGGAGAAAAGAATCTACATCTAATCTAACCTCTAGTTCTTTTTTTTTTTTTTTAATATTTTTATTTATTTCTAGGAGAGAGAGAGACAGCGCGAGCAGGGGAGGGTCAGAGAGAGAGGGAGTCACAGACTGAAACAGGCTCCAGGCTCTGAGCTGGCAGTCAGCACAGAGCCCGACGAGGGGCTCGAACCCACGAACCGCGAGATCATGACCCAAGCGAAAGTCGGACGCTTAACCGACTAAGCCACCCAGGCGCCCCTCTAACCTCCAGTTCTACCTTCTAATCTACACCAGAAGCAGGACATGGAGCCACAAGACAAACAGTAAAACGGAATTTAAACCAATGAGGAAGATTCCACAGGACAAATGACTCAGGTCCTTCAGTAAATAGATGACAATAAATAAAGGAAAGGGGAACTCTCATAGATTAACAGAAATGTGACAGACCTTTCAATCACACATAGTGCATAGACCTTGTTTGGACCCTAATTTGAAAAAGCCAACTGTATAAAAGACATGTTTGGGGTAACCAAGGGAAAGAAAGGAAAGATTAGATATTAGATAATATTAAGGAATCATTTTTAAAATTTTGTTTGGTTTTCTGCTTTTTGATGGAGATGAATGTTGAAGCATTTATGGGTGAAACTACTATGTTTTCTAGGATTTACTTTTAAATATTCTAGCAAAAAAAAAAAAGGAACGGAATGGATGAAACAAAAAAGGCAGGGTGTTGGTTACTGGTGAAATTCAGCCATGGATAAGGGAGGTCATTTTGCTACTTATTCTACTTCTTTGACCATTTAAATTTGCATGAGAGGGCCCCCCAGGTGGCTCAGTAGGTTGAGCGTCTGACTCTTGATTTCGGCTCAGGTCATGATCCCAGGGTCGTGGGACTGAGCCCTGTGTCAGACTCCACCCTGAGCACGGAATCTGCTTGAGATTCTCTCTCTTGTGTGTGCTGTCTCTCTCCCTCTGCCCCTCTCCCCTACTCACATGCTCTCTCTAAAATAAAAATTAAGAAAAAAAAAACATTAAAAAACTTTCCATGATCTACAGTTAAAAACCAAGTGGAGGGGTTACTGTGTCACCAAAATTTGGAATAGTTTTTTCTAGATTCCCTACACTCAAGCGCATTGGGCCTAACATGAACTTGGAGTCCTGATGTGGTGAAAAGACCCAGCAGCTCCCTCTCTGGCAGACAGTCAGAACTCTGCTCTTGTGTCCCCATACTTCCTTGGCCTACAATTATGAGACAAGGTCATTCGGGTCCTATTCTAGTCTTGGGAGTATCATCAATCTCTCTCTCTCTCTTTTTTTTTTTTTTTTTTTTTTTGGCCTCAGTTCCAAACACAATTAGCCCAGAACTCTTTACTTTGGAAAAGAAAACTGACCCTTCGAGTCTAATTTAGCTCGGATCCTCGTGATTATATTCTATCAGCAGAACCCCGGAGGGCAGACAGCATCTGCACCTGGCCCATACCTGCAGGGAGCAGAGCAGATAAAAGAATGACGACACAGCTGAATGAGCAAAGGTATTTTGAGGATAAAGGAAAATTATGCATGTTCCCAAACGAAGGTCGGTTATCCAGGGTAATCGAAACCTTAAAAGTTTGAGAAAATGGGATGAAGTGTCAGAGCAAGGTCCCTCAGACAGTGAATAAGAACCAAAGACACAGTGAAAGAATTTGTATCAGAAAGAGAAATGATTTACTGTTCTGTACATTGGTGGGAAGAAAGAAAAGAATAAAAAAGATTCTACAGAGACAAGTTGAGACAGATATACGGGAGATCCAGGTGGCTTTTTTTCTGGTGGGCAAAATCTTTGAAATAAGAAAGAATAGAGACAGAGAGAAAGGCAAAGGGTTTGCAGCCAGGGCTAGAATGACAACAGCCGTGGCACAAAGCTAACCTGGCCACACTTTGGGGAGAGCTGGGCACTGGGAAGATGGGACAGAGAGTGACCCGGCCATCAGGCTCCCAATGGACCTCTGAATGCTACTCCATGCTGTGCAGCCAGCGTGCATGAGGAAGTCAAGCCCTCCTCCAGCCAAACAGCTCATTCCTTATGCTGTGGAAAGTCTCCTGAGAGGATGGCTCAGAAGGTGGGTGGTGGAGAGAACGCCATCATCCTGAAACATCTGTGTCCGGAGCCGTTGGCCTTCCTCTTTCTTCCCCCTGCAAGCCCAGCAGAGGCTCCCAGAGCACGACTTTACTTAGGTCTAAGTCAGATGTAATGTTCTAGAAGAACTTGAAAGTCACAAATAGTTTTGCTCTCTAAACATGGAGAACATAAGCTTCATGTAAATATAGGGTGGTGAGGCTACATTTTCACAGAAAAATATTAGCAGCTTATTCAGTGTTTCTTTAGTGTTTTTAAATTAGTTTATTGGGGCACCTGGGTGGCTCAGTTGGCTAAGAGTCCGACTTCGGCTCAGGTCATGATCTCACAATTTGTGTTTGAGCCCCGCGTCGGGCTCTGTGCTGACAGCTCAGAGCCTGGAGCCTGCTTCAGATTCTGTGTCTCACTCGCTCTCTGCGCCATCCCCACTCACACTCTGTCTCACTCTCAAAAATAAACATAAAAAAGTATAAACTAGTTTATTAACTGTATCAACACATTTACTAAGGTTTTAAATGTCCAGACTGTGCATTTTCTCAAATTATCTCAAATTATATTGTGAAAATTAGGCACACACATAAATCAAAAATAGCTTTAGCTGTTAAAATAAATAGATAACATATTTTCAAGAAGGTCACAAAAGAAAAAGGTATCTAAAGAGAATCGGCATCGTTTTCCACAGAAATCAAAACAATGTTAGATTTCACGTAACGCCCAATGTATACATAGTATTTAAAATACTTCTGTTCCCCAACAAGTGGCCCCTTTTTCTCCAGGATAAATATCTACTTTCAAATAAAGTAGATAATTTTATTTATATATAATAAGTTGGTGAGAATAGATGTTTTTCTTTTTTTAAGTTTATCTTTTTTTTTTTTTTTTGAGGGGCGGGGAGAGAAAGAGTGAGAGCTGGGGAGGGCAGAGAGAGAGAAGGTGAGAGAGAATCCCAAGCAGGCCCTGCACTGCCAGTGCAGAGCCCGCTGCGGGCCTCGAACTCATGAACCTCAAGATCATGACCTGAGCCAAAATCAAGATTTGGAGGCTTAACCAACCAACTGAGGCACCCTGGTGTCTTAAGAGTAGATGTTTTGCAGGATGTCCCTGAATTCTAATAGTTTGGATCCTACATGTGAATCTGCTACTGATACGCATATATTCCATTCTTATCTCTGCCTTACGGAAGACCTCAATAAATGGGTTACAAGGAACTCCCTGTAGTCCTGCCCTGGCTTTGGCACGGAATTACCGCACACGATGTTTCCTGAGAACTACTCGGGGAGCTATTCTGGACTTCCCGGAAGCTAAAATATCAGCAGGCTTTTCTTCTTGGTTGACTAAATGAAGTATGTCAAGGGTTGTTTGAGTAACTGATTTTTTTCACTTGTTCTAGGTCCCCACTGGCTCTGCATCGCACCATCGAGCAGATGGCCTGCTGGAAATTGTCACTGACCACCACATACAGTAACAGGTTACCAAAGGTGTTCAGGGCAGCTAACGGCCTGGAAACAATGTAGGCTTCATGGATCTGATACTCAATGGAGCAGCTGGTTGAAAGCAGTCGAGATTCGATTCGAATGACCCTCAAGATGTGGAAGGGTAAAAAACATATATAAAACACGAGGAGCAGCAGAATGGTTAGCCTTCTAGCTTTCTGCTTAAGGCCGCTGCGAGTCTGAGGTCCTTGCGTTAGGGTGCAGATAATCATTGTATAGCAAAGTGTAACTATCACCAAGGGAAGGCAGAAAGTAGTGGCCGTCAAAACTAGATTGTACCACTTGATAGTGGCGAGGTCATCTGAACTGGTGAGGTCAAGGCAGGCCGATCTATTGGTCCTGGTGGTTGATGTGATCAGGAAGGTCATGGGAATGACGGCCACCAGTGAAATGACCCACACCACAGCACAGGCCACCACGGCCCATCGAGTTTTGTGAATGGAAAAGCAGCTCATGGGGTGAATGATCACAAAGTATCGGAAGATGCTGTAACAGGTCAGGAAGAGTATGCTGCTATACAGGTTGAAATGGAAGCCGAAGCGGATGAACTTGCACATGAAGTCCCCAAAGATCCAGTTTTCGCCGCTGGCATAGTAGTGAATCAGGAAAGGGAAGCTGGTTAGATAGAGCAGGTCTGTGCAGGCCAGGTTCAGCATAATGATGGTGCTGCCTTTCCAGGGCCGCATTTTGAAAATGTACGTGGAAATTGCTACTGCATTCCCTGGAAAGCCCACCAGGAAGATGATGCTATAAATAACCGGGAGGTAGTGCCTCTTCAGCGGGATTTTTTCATCAGTGCAATTTCCAAAATGCGCTGCAAAATCGGGGAAGTCGGAAGAAGCATTTGCAAAATTGTCTAGTGTCTCATCCATGGCTGGCTCCTTTCATCTTGCAGGAAAACAAGGGTTCAGTTTGGCAATACAGATCGACTTTGAAATAACTCGCTGATAAAGGGAAATAGAAAACATTAACGATAGGGTAATGAAAACAATGATCTTCTTTTAAATGAAAATTGCTCTAAGATCCTAAATTTGCCACTTCTTTCTCTTTAATCTCAAAGAGACCCTGTGGAGAAGAGATTGAATTTCTAGGAAAACTATCATGAGGCAAGACATCTAATAATAATATAAAAATTGAATTACCACCAGAGTTAAAATGAAGGATTGGAAAAAACAAATACACATAGCCATGGGAAACAATTTGGCAAGGTTGCTGTTCAGGGAAGCCGCAGAATATCACCATTAGAGGCTTAACAAGACCTACCATTAATCAAGCTCAAGGCACTCCACCGTCAAGTAACCTCTAAACTTCACAAGACGCTGTGAAGTGTTTCTTATTATCTCTATTTTACAGAAGAAATAAAGACTGAGGGAGGCTTTGCAACTGGTCCCCGGAAGGCATCTGGTGGCGCAGCCGGGGTTCGAACCTCTGTATGTCTGACTTAGAAGCCATCCTTGATTCTCGCTTACCTCACTATGCCGCCTCCCAGTCCAGATTCCCCCGAGTACGGGATGGAACAGGAAGTGCAAAGGCATGAAAAGACAGAATGCTGGCCATTTTTTAAAATGTAGATTTCATATCTTGCACCATCATACATACGGTAGATTTCATTTTCAAATGTCAGCTCTTCCAACCTATTTTAATAGCTAACATAATTTGTTCAAGGGAGAGTGTGTGTATTTGCCAGGGGAGAAAGAACAGCAGATTCATGCAGCTTTCAAGCTGTGGGCTCTGTCGCCAGACTGCCTGACCTTGATTCTCAGTGTGGCTACATAGAACTTGTGTGTCCCTAAGCAGGTTGCTGAAGCTCTCCAGGGCTGGGAGTGGTGGGATTTTAACTTCCCTCTTCTTACTTATCGGTGTTTTCTAAAATTTTGACAGTGAATTTCTGCAATGAGAAAAGCATGAAGATTATTTAAAAGAGGAATTACAATTAGCTTATTATTCGGATGTAAATAGATGTTGGTAAAATGTATCCACTTACACATTTACTGAGTGCCCACTGTGTATTAATTAGGCACTCTGCCAGCTCCTAGAGATACAAAACGAATAACACACACAGATGTACAAGCCACTATCACAGTCTACTGGGGGAGATAGACATGGACATAATTTTAACGAATGTAACCCTACCACATGGAGCTGTCAAGATATTTTTGTTTTAAAAAAAAGCAACAAAAACCCTTGGAACACTACTGGGTACATAATAAGTGCTCAATAAATGTTGGGTAGTTGTGAATCACTAAGTCCTTTAATAGATGAATGGCATGAGAAGGAAGGAAACAGTTACCTGGAGAACAGGGGAGAGCACGAAGCAAGGTCCTTAGGGAGGAACATTTAAGCTGAAAGTAGCAAGAGGAAGGTGAAGTGAATAGCATGTTCAAAGGCACCAAGAGATGACAGATTTCAGGAGGTTCAAGGGAGCTCTGCTCAGCATGGCTGCTATATTAAGGACAAGTGGGAGATGAAGCTGGAAAGAAAATAATAGCTGATAATAAAAATAATGGTGCCTCCTGGGTACAGAGCACCACTACTCTAATATCCATTCATTTTGTCCTCACAGCAATTTGGCAAGATAGTTCTGTGATCATGCCCATTTTCGAGCGGAAACTGAGGGACCGATAAGGCAATGACTTGCTCAAGGTCACACTGCGAGCTAGTAGCAAGCCATGAGATGCAGACTAGGGCGGCCGGTCTGCAGAGCTGGGGTGCCTCTCACAGCGAGTAGGCAAGAGGGAAATAAATGCCCTAAAATAACAAGGTTGAATTAGACTGTATCCCAGAAGGGCTGAGTAAATCAAACATCCTAACTTGTGTGATCCAGGGCTAAACTGTCAATAATAATGGCACTCACCTCTTTGGGCTGAAAGACGTTAAATAAGTATATTTGGAAACATACTTTATGTATGTGGTTTGAAAGATGCCTGGTGCCTACTACGTGCTGTATCATTGTCTGCCATCATCCTTACTATTATCTGATACTAAAATCTACACTTTCAAGCTTTCCCCCAGTGTAGTAGAGAGGTGGATTTCAGACTGGCCCAACTTAACTAATAATCGAAAACTGGTAGAATCTTTCCCAATTCATTGGCCTTGAATATACTCTTCCAGATCTCACTTAGGCTTCCGATCTGGATGGTCTCAAACATTTCTGACTTGTATCCATATGAATTGGGGAAAGAGTAGCCTCGGGATGGGAAACACGCCACTAGGCAGCTGTGAGGATCTTCCAGGGGAGGCACATGGGCTCCCTGGGACTGTGTATCACAGATGGAGAGCAAACGTTTCCTTCCTTGTCAAGTTAATTTACTCTCGCTGGACACACTATTCCTGGAACTGTGACCTACACAGCATTGAAGGTGATCGCAGTCAGGCACTGCTGACCAGCAAGGGTTCTCTGAGGCCAGGAAACTACAGCAGACAGCTTTTCCTTGGCCAGACTCTTTAAACGGGCTCATGCCCAGATGGGAGCAGTAATTTATGCCTGAAAGAAAATGGTCACGGTCAGAGAGTCCCTGAGGCAGCAACTTCCAGAAGTCAGTTCTTAGTAAGTCCTGATTCAGGTCCACACTGATTATCTGTCAACTCCCTGAAACCAGAAATATGGAATCACTTCATATCCTAATGGCCAATGTGGCGAAGATTCTCAATACATATTTGCTGAGAAAAAGATCAGTGAGTAATTTCAGCAAAATTTTATCTGGGGCTGAACGTTAATGAAATGCCAACTATTATGTTTTTAAGTTTGCTTCTTTAACTGCTCCTAAAATAAGGTGCAAAATTATAATTTCTGTCATTGCCAAATAAGCCCCTGGCCATGTCATGGGACCATTTTAAACAATAATCATATCAGGAAAAGACAGGTTGTAGGTAGAAACAACCACCTCATTGTTCTGAAAAACAGCAGTTCAACTGAGGATTTAATGAAGACTAACAGACCAATTGGAAGGGAGGAGGGGTTGGCTAAGAAGTTTAACTCGTCTTCCATAAACCTCAGCCAAAGAATGGTTGGAGTTTACAAAATATGTGTCAGCTTTAGAACAACAGACACATCTGGTCAGAGATGTGAGGTCAGGTTCTTTCTTCGGTCGTCCCAGAATCTTGTATAATTCACCGCTACTATCCCGAGCACCAAGATGTCCACAAAGGACTCATTTATATTCAGGGGACACTCAACAATGATGTGACGTGTTCCCTAGGTTTTGCTACAACAGTGGACCTCAATCAGGGGGAGGTTCTAGACCTCCTAGAATTAACAGACTATAAACTAGAAATAACGGTCTATTAAGTTTCAACATAACCAGATACATATGTTTGAACTAGACTAGATAACACACGGATAAAAACAAACACCAAAGATTTGGGGATATTTTTATAAAGGAAGAAAAAATCACATCATTGTGGCTCATTTCTTTTCTCAGAAATTGGGAAGAGATTGTGACTGTTTGAGGCTTAGCTGCAGCACATCAGTGTTTTGGAAACAAGCAGTTTGAGAACCACTTGTCCTAAATGCTGATTTGTCAGTGAACCTCACTGACCAGGATTCTGAGCTTCTGATATGGAAGGACCCAGAAAAAGTGTCCATTCAAGTGGCAGCATATACTACTTTATGTCCACGGCACACTCTTGCCCATCTGGGAGAAACAAGTGGGATTAATGATGAAATGTGATTTTTCTGGAGTATCTATTAATTTTGTAGTAAACTCCTAATCCAACAACCCCCCCACCCCACCCTGTTTAGAGTTCCCGTCCCTCCACACACACCCTGGGTTTTTCTGGTGTTGGTCCAAAGCTGAGTTAACACTCATTCTTCCCTCTTCTCAAGCTGCCAGGGGACCAGGGAGGCATAAACTTGTAACACTGTGCGTCTCACACTCCTTCAGAGTCCTTGGGAACTACAGCTGGGGTTGCATCAAGGGGAACCATGGACGGACGTTTCACTCACAAAGATTCATCTTCCTTTCCTCCTCTACGTATCTGTAAACTAGTTGATTTGGTCCTAGTTGAAACAGCCCAATTCTTCATCCAGGCAACTGTGAAGCATGCATAAATGTTGTGCTTCTTGAGTTTGAAGGAATCCTTCTCCCCAACCTTTCCATCAAACCCAGCTTTCAAGTAAGAAGCTGCAATTCAGGGGTGGGGGTGCGGAGTGCCTGGGTGGCTCAGTCTGCTATGGGTAGAACTCTTGATTTCAGCTCAGGTCATGATCTCACCGTTTGTGAGTTTGAACCTCTCCATCGGGCTCTAAGTGGACAGTGAAGAGCCTGCTTGGGATTCTCTCCCTCTCTCTCTGGCCCTCCCCTGTTCATGCATGTTCTGTCTCTCGAAATAAATAAACTTAAAAAAAAAAAAAAGAATCTGCAACTCAGTTACCCTAAAGACTGTTAGCACTAGCCCAGCTGATGGGGCTCAAAGCTATGATTTTAGCTATTTGATCTTCAAATCCAACCTATGGGAAGCTCTCCTGAGAAAAGTGCAAGTATGGGCACACAGAACTTTTACTTACAATTTAGACGTTTGGAGACAGTCCCAAGCTTGTTCATTAAATCCATAGGGACACAACAAAATAAGACAAGACGGAAAAGAAAGGTATTTGGGGGCGGGGATGAGGTTTTGGTCCTTTACTTGGGGAGGCCGTGGGGCAGTGTCTATGGACTTTGCCAATACCTGGGAGGTGCGGTAAGGGCTAAGAACGCATCCAGAAAGTGAAATCAAACAGTGTCAGAGATGCACTCTCCACCCCCAAAGTACCTCCACCACCCCCACCCCCACCCCCAAAGATACCTAAGCTTGGCCATGGACAAGGCACAAGATGGGATTGACAGTCCGGAACTTATTCAGGCTTCCCTGAGGTAAACCTCGGGCCATCAGA